TCCTCACTGGGGGCCCAGCCTGCGGACCTGGACCCCAGGACTGCCATCTCTTTGAGTCCCCTGTTAGATGCTACGTGACACTCTTTGTGGTACTCAGCATCCTCTGGTGGCCCTGTGCCTCTTTGCACTGTCCCCACATCTCCCTGCACACACGGGCCAGCGCCCCCGGTGGATGCCAGCCCAGAAGCTGGTCTCTGCCGCGCGGAGCCAGGCAGCAGCAATCAGTGAGAACAGACGGCACGGCCGGGGAACTTACCGGCTGGGACCGCGCATATGGTACAAGGGAAGCACTTTGCCAGTGAGTCTGTGAATCGGCTCTGCAACGTCAGCATCAGGGCCGCTCGGGTGCGGCTGTGGGTGGCGTGGCCCCCTCCCGCCATGGGCAGCCCCAGGGCCTCGGCGGGGTCTGGGCCGCGCGCCCTCCTCCTGCGGCCAGGGCCCTCTGTGGTCCCTGCTGGCCCTGCTCATGGGGGCAGAGGGCCCCAAGCTCGAGAGGGCCCCGGGGCGGCCACCTGGCCCTCCCTGCGCTCCAGCCCCGCCCCGGCCCAGGCCGCTGCCCCTGAGACGGGAGCAAGGGCTGCTGCTGGGACAGAGTCCCCGGTCCCGGCTGCCGGGGCCTCACCCGCAGCTACCATGGGCCCCCTCCCGTTGCCCCGTGCGGCCTGTCCCCAGTTATCCCCATGTGAGGAGCCGCGGGGCCCCCCGAGTCCCCGCACCTTCCCCGCAGGGCTGTCTTCCAGGCCCAAGCTGTGTACCTTGTGGGTGAAGCGATGGGGTCTCCGGTCTGTGCGCCGGGCGCCTGTGAGCACAGCGTCTCTGTGGCTTCTGTGTGTGCTTGCTGCTGTCCCCCCGCCCCGCTAGGCAGGAAGAAGCCGACTAGTGGCCGCACCAGGCGGGAGCGTCCTGTGTGTGCTGGCGGGGGGTCTCTCTGCGTGGACAGGGGACAGAAGGGCCGGCTCCAGTGGGTCTCAGCCCACTTGGGTCCCAGTACCAGAGGTGCCTCCTTTGCAGGAAACTGACCACAGGGACCGTGTGACTCCCTGGGCCGGCGGAGGCTCCCCGGGGAAGGCTCCTGGCTGTGCCTCCCGCTGGTTCCCGCCTCCCGAGGGCTGTCACCAGCGAGCTGGCTGGCCTGGCGGCTGGATGTCTGTCCCAGCTGGCTGTCACCAGCCTATTTTTAGTGCTGCTTTGGTCCAGGACTTGACAAGGTTTTCAAGCTAATAACTGGATTGTCAAAGGCATCACCTGTCACGGGATGGCCTGGGAAGCTGGGAGGCAGGAGGGAGGCCGGGCCCAGCCAGCCCCCCACCCCCGCCCAGGGGCTGTGACCCTCGAGGGCACGGCAGCACAGCCACCACATGCAACAGCAGGAGGTCTCTCTTTCTGGGTGTGGGTGGCTCCACCGGGGTCAGAGTTGGGGGGTGCAGGAGTGGACCTGGGGAGTCGGACTTCGGAGCGAGTGTCTACCGGAGGGAGCAGAGGGATTGACCGTCGCGTGGCCGCTTCCGTGCCGTGCGCGTTGGGTGTGTTCTGTGTTCTTTGATCTATGGGCTCCGGGTGTCAAGGGGGATGGGAAGGTCAAACACGAGATAAGCAAGGGTGAGCTCTCCAAGGCCAAGGGCCCCTCCCGCAGGCCGTTGCTTCCTTGGACGTTTGCCGCAGGCCCGCCGCGTGCCGGGCGCCATGGCAGGACAGCAGGCAGTCGCCGCCGCCTGCTCGGGGCGGGGTGGCCTGTGAGCGCCGTGTCCTGCTGCGCTTGTCCACTACGCTGTCGTTCCCCGCGGACGGCCAGTTCAGTGCGGACGCCCCTTGCAGTGTCCCGCTGCCGCCGACGGCGCAGCGGTGCCAGGCGGACGCCGCGGCGGCTGGCGCGTCCATGATCTGGCAGCGGTGGGGCCCTCACCTGTGCTTGCCCTGGGATGTGGGCATTGCCGTGCCCGCTGCCCGGCGATGGCGCCGAGGAGGCTCAGGGACTGACAGGGCTGGCGCAGCTGACGGCACCCGAGGACGCCCTGCGCAGGCCATGGGATCGGGGTGGCCTCTGCGCTGTGGTGGCCTCGCCCCGTGTCGCCGCTGCCCCTGCGCACGGGTGCGTCCGGGAGGGGCCAGGCAGGACTCCGGGGCCCCAAGAGGTGCCGGCGTGCCGCCATCTTGTCCTTCCCGCGAGGGGCCCGCCTTTTGCAGGTAGCGGTGACGTATGGCTGAGCCTCTGGAGGGAAGCTCCCAGCACCACTCACGAATTTGCTCTTGAGCCTCAGACGGCTCAGCCGCCCCTCCAAACCTGCCCAGAGGCAAACCCTACACAGGAAGGCCCGTCTCCGGGCCTGCCCTGCAGCCTGACCGGGCGTAACCACGGTGCTTGGCTCCGACCCCGCCTCCCGCTGCACCTCCCGAGGCCCAGCCGGTGGGCGCCTGCTGTCCACAGTGCGCCAGGCGGGCCTCCGCGGAGAAGGCCAGCTGGGCCCTCACGCTCATGGTGACATGTCATTGTCGTCCAGTGTGTCCAGGCCCGGAGCGGCTGGTCTGACTGAGCCCCCGCGCGGGCCCAGGCCCCACCCCGCCTCTGGGCGACCGGGCTGCGTGCCCAGGGCTGAGGTCGCAGACCTCCAGGCGGGCAGGCGGGACGGCCCCGTCGCTCGTGGGCCCCGCTGAGCACATCGGGCGGCCGTGTCCACGAGGGAGGGTGTGCGGAGCGCAGACTCCCTGGGAGGAAGGGCACGGGGCCGAGGGGCGCGCTTGCTGTGGCTTGGGGGACGCGGGGGCGCCTCGTGGACCAGGGCAGGGAGGAGGGACGGGTCCCTGATGTGCGCACCTCTGAGCATCAGCGTCGTGAGCAAACCTTCCGTGGCTGTTAGAGGGGCTCGCGTGGTCACACGCTGTGTGGGGGAAAGTCGTGACTGGAAACCGCAGCAGTTTGCAGGGCGGCCCACCGGCGGCCGTCTCAGCGACTCCCTCCTGCTGGGCATCGCGCAGACTCTCCCCTAGGGCGCTGGGCCCTTGGGGTGCGCCCAGGGACAGCCTCGTTAGCGGAGCTCCTTCCCCAGAATGAGGCAGACCACGCAAAACAGCCCGTGGCCGCGCAGCAGGCCCGGTGGGAGACGCCGCTGCCCCGTGCGTGCCAGGACAGGCGCTGGAGGACAGAAATCTGTATTGAAGGGCGTGTTGGACGGCGCCCTCGCCTCCCACGAAGGTTGCCCCGGTGGGCTTTTCCCTAGCCTTGCGGCCGCGGCGCACCTGGCGCTTCTGTTCTCTCTGCACCCCGTGAACCGGGGACTGAATTAGATTCTGAAATTGAGTGTGCAGCCGTTCGTAATGGGAGGGGATCGCTTCTCACCTTGCAAGTAGTGAGGTCATGATAATATGAAGCGAAGTGGATTAAAAATAAAACCAGAGGTGTTTATTTACGACCTGCTCGGAATTGGATTGGCATCTGTGTAACTCGCTCCTAATGGTGAAGGACAGCAGATTGACGCTGATACGGCCCCGGGGACACTGTGCCAGCGAAACTTGCTCTGTGAATTCAATTTAAAGGCCCTGGGAAGTATCTGAAATGCAAAAGGAAATGGACTGAGGAAGAGAAACAGTGGCCATGGGGAAGCCGCGCTGGTGGGGAGCCCAGCGAGGGCCGGGCCACGTCGCCAGGGGCGCGCGGCCCAGGCCGGCGCGGGGCCTGTGACGGAGGAGGGGCCAGGGCGCCGAGCACGCGCAGCGGGAGGGGGTGTCGGGTGGCCAGAGCGCCCGTCACCTGCAGTTCCGGGCTGGGGCTCGGGGGGCGGCCGTCGCCCCGGGGCCACACGCACAGGAAGAGGGCGCCGGGCCGGAGCGTGACGCCGCACCCTGCTCGTACCGCACTGTGGCCCCCGCGCCCGTCGCCGCCCTGCAGGGTCCGGAAGCTCCGTGGACAAGAGGCAGGGAGCGGCTGAAGGTCCGAGTCTGCGGGCGGCTCCTGTCCGGTGGGGAGTGTGGGCACCTGCCTCCGGCCTCTGTCACTCGTCACCTGCTGGGAGCCGGGCCTCAGCGGCAGCACCGCAGCGCCCAGGTGCCCTTCCCACCCGACCTCCCAGGTCCGGCTGCTTCCAGGAGAGGCTGAGGGGCTCCTCCGGATGGGGCCACAGGGCCCTGGCCGCAGGGCCCCGCCCTTGAGCCCCCTGACCCCCGCCTTGCTGAGAGGAGTTTGGCCCTGGGCCTCATTCACCAGGAGCCACCTGCCACCCAGCCCTCTGAGCCCTTCCTGCCAAGCCCTTCTGGGAGCCGGGCCTGTGCTCCCCAAAACCTGCCCGTCCCTTCCCAGTGCCGGTGCCGGGGCAGTTTGTAGAGTCGCCGCCCCGGCACAGCCCCTCGCCCGTCCTCTGAGCCGTGAGCCCCGAGGCAGCCGAGGCCGGTAGGGGTGGCTTCGTGCCCGCGAGCTGAGCCAGCGCCGTGGGGAGGCCTGCGAGGCAGCAGCAGGGACCCCAGCAGGTCTTCCCTGGGACCACGTCGTGGGCTGTCCGGTGTCCGTCTTTCCTGTGTCCCTGTCCCAGCTGCACCTGGGTCCCCGCTGTAGAGTCACCAGGTGCATAGACGTCTGGGCCCATGGGCCCTGGGGTTAGTGGGCGGCGCCTCACCCCCAACTCTGGAGAGCCTTCGGGGCACGGGCTGGGAGCGGGGGCTCCTGAGCTGGGACAGCACCGCGCAGCCAAGCCCCTGCAGACCAGCGCCCGGGCCTTGGGGTGCGGGGACACTCAGTGAAATGGGGTCACAGTCCCCGCTTCCCCACAGATGTGTCTCCTGAGTCTGGGCCTCCCTGGCTGCCCAGCTGGGGGCCCTCATGAGGGTCAAGGGGTGGGGCACGGTGGCTCTGTGGGCTGCTCTGGGGTGGGGCTGGGGGTGCAGGGAGCCCCCGTGCTCACCCCACCGGCTGGGGCGTTTTCTGGGTCCCGCTGAGAGGAGGGGGACCCCCAGCCCCGCCCCCACCCACAGTCGCAGGCGCAGCCCATGACCTGGCCTGTCTCTCTCCCCAGGAGCTGCTGCTCTTCCTGCAGAACCTGCCCACGGCCGGCTGGGGCGACGAGGACATCAGCCTGCTGCTGGCGGAGGCCTATCGCCTGAAGTTCGCCTTCGCTGACGCCCCCAACCACTACAAGAGATGAGCGTGGGCCCCAGCCGCAGGCCCCGCGCCCAGGACAGCGCCCGCCCCGCCGGCTGGCTGCGCGAGACGCCTCGATGGACGGCCCGCCCGATGGGGTGTCTGCCTGGAGCGCGCCAGGCGCAGCCTGCGGCCTGGCCAGGGCGGGCTGCCTGTTTTCGGAGATACCAAAGAGAGCCGGGGCGGGGCCCGGCCGTTGGGACCCCTCCCGTGTCCCGGAGCTTCCTTGCCAAACGCTGGTCTCCGGAGACACCCGGTGCGGGGGCCCCTCCTGGAGAGGCCCACACCTGGGGCCGGGCAGAGGGAGAGGACGCCCGCCTCGCACCTGCTGGGAAGTGCAAAGCTTCTATTCTGTTGAATGAAAGAGAATAAAATATAGACAAATAGTGAGTGAGACGTCGTCCTAACCTCAGACCTGCCCCTGCAGCGCCACACCCGTCCCTGGCGCCGCGCGGAGTTGGCTGTGGACGGCCGGCCTTGGCTCGCCTGGAAAGCCGCCGCCGGGCCTGTTGCGGGAGCGCCGCGCCCGGGGGCTCTGCCTGCAGCCGGTCGTGGGCGGGGCCTCGTCCCCAGCCTCTGAGGAGAGAGACCGGCCCTGTGGGTCCCGGTCAGGTAACCCCGAGTGCCGGGCTGCCGTGCGGACAGACGGACGGGCAGGGCGCAGCCTCCGGGATGGGTGCCGTGGCCGACCGTGCTTGCCCCGCGGCGGTCTGCGGGGCGGGCCGAGCTGCCGCCCCGGGTGCCCGAGTCAGGGCGGCCCTGCCGCCTCTGTCACCGGGGCAGTGAGCCCGGCGGGCGAGTTGTGGGCCGTTGAAGGATCAGAGCGCAGGGACGCGGGGGAGGGGGGACGACACCAGGCGGGTCCCACAAGCTTCGGGGCCACCGGCCTCTGGGGCTGCCGTGGAGCTACACCCCCTCGTCCGCCGTGCAAAGCGTCTGGCTATGCGAGCTGCTGCCGCTGCCGCAGCCACAGCAGGACCGGCTGCCTCCCCGCCGCTCGCCGGTCTGTTCACCCAGAGGGGCTCAGGGGTAGAGGGTCAGGGGCCCCCTGGGGCAGGTGCCGTGTTCCCCGCCCCCGACTTGCCCTGCGCCCCGGGCCGTGCGGAGAGTAGGCCCTCCCGTGCTAGGTCTTTTGCTCTGCGCGCCCCTGCTTCACAGATGAGGACCCCGAGGCGTGGAGGCCAGGCGGCTCGCCTGAGCCCACGGAGCTGGCCCAGTGGGCAGTGTGTCCCCAGCTGAAAGGTGGTGGGCATCGGGTGGCCAGCGACTTGCTCAGGGTCACGCAGCCAGTCCAACTACGAGACTGCCGGGCAGCTGGGGTGGGAGGGCCGACGGACGGCGCCCTTGGGGGCTCCCCGGGCGCGGGCCCCGCCCCCGGGGCACCGAGTGGCCGCCTCATGCACCGCCCACGGCCCGCGGCATGCCCGGTGCTGGGCAGAGCTGGGAACTGCGCTCTGGAGGGATCTCTGTTGATGTGCTGAGTTACTGTGCTAGTCGCCCGTGTTCCCGGGGCTGTAACGAGGTGTCGGCGGGAAGAGGGGACTGAAGGGATGAGTCGGGTGACTCTTGCGATGCCGTCACGCGTTCGCAGTAAGAGTCACTCGCCAGTTTACAGCGTAGCGATGTGCTGCTCACTTACCTGGCCAGCTAACGGGGATGTCGGCTCCAGGCTCAGGGGCAGTAGTCGCCTGGCGAGGCCCGGGTGCTGCCTCTGTTCCCCGCCTGGCGCCTCCCGAGGCCGGCGCGAGGCCAGCGGGCATTCTCCCCGTCTGACCGGAGGGCCCAGCAGAGTGGCTCGGCCTGGGTGCGGGGCTGTGGCCGAGCCTGGTTCCTGGGCCAGAGCTCCCTCAGGCCTCCCTGACCACGCCTCGCCCCTGCACAGCCTGTGTGCGCCCCGAGCTCTGGCCCGAGGCAGCCCCGCGACTCCCCACGACGCGCCTATGGCCAGCTCCCAGCCTGGGCTGGGGAAGAGCCTTCACAGATGGGCTCAGGTATCTCGGGGGCCCGCGCAGCGGGGAGGGCCGGGGACACCCTCGCAGAGAACGGGCCGTTGGAGCTGGGCAGACGAGGGCATTCTGGGAGGAGAGAAGAACACGAACCGCGTTGGAGGTGGACGGGTGGACCTGGGTCAGCGGGCGGGAGGAGAGGTGGGCACCGCGCTCGGAAGCTCGTCAGCAGGGACGGCGCCCACCGGGGTGGGACTTGGCCCCCCTGCGTGCTCCCTGCTTGTGGGTGTGTGGCCTGGCCCTCCGCTCGGCCGCCAGGGTCGCCGCCACAGATGCCGTGCGGCCCGGCGACACCGCACACTTGGGAGCTGGTCTGGTGGCGAGTTGTTCGCACGAGAGGGGACGGCAGGCCGCCCCGGTCCCCCGTGGATCCTGCCGCCGGCCGCTGAGCTCGGCTCTCCACCGTAGGGTTCGCGCGGCGCCCGGCCAGCTCTGTGGGGGCCCGTCCTGCAGGAGGACAGCTGCCTGCTCGCTCGGGCCCCGTCTCCCGGCTGCTGCGGGGCCACCGCACTCTGGACAGCGGTGCTCCCTCAGCCTGTCCCGGGGACACTGCCGGCCCAGGGACGGTGGCTTTGCGGTTCGTGGAGCGAGTCCCGTCCAGAGTCTCACGGCTTCTAAACCGTCCAGACGCAAGGTCACGTTGAACGACCCCGCGGAGGGCTGCCTTTCCGGGGGAGAATCTCCTGAAGCGGGAGCCGACTCGTGAGTTCGGGGGCGGCAGCGGGGTCAGCAGTGGGCGGGGAGCAGGGTGCGGGGGCCAGGCAGGGGCGGCGCCGTCCGCCCACGCCCCGCCCCCGCCCGCCGGGGTGCTGGAGGGAGGGGATGCCGAGCTGGTGACGTGGCCTGTCACCAGGCTGCCAGCCGACAGGGAGGCGATCAGTGACTTCGTGTTGGTGCGCGTGCGGTGCGCGTGCGGTGCGCGTGCGGCGCGCGGCGTGGACGGTGTCGGGGGGCCCACTGGCCGCCCCAGGTCCCGGGCCCACTGAGGGGCCGCCCGTGCACCACCCGGGGTCGCCTCGCCCCTCTGAGGCCCCGCGGGCCCCGCCCGCGGGCGAGGCGTGAAGGCCCGGAGGCGCCCGGCGCCCGCTGCCGCTGCCCGCAGGAGCCCGGGCGGAACGAAGTCTCGGTGCCCGAGCGTGCGCATCTGTCCCCCGCGCTGGTGCCCTCCAGAGTCTAGGGGGCGACCACCCTTCTCGGCGAAAAGGAGCTGGGCCGTCCGCCAGCGTCGGGGCGTGTGCGCGTTTCAAACTGCCCGCGTGTGAGTGTGAAGAGTGTGTAAGGAAGCGGGACTTGCCGAAGCGAAGGCGAAGCCGCGCGATGCTCGCCCGGCGTGGGCGTCGTCCCGCCAGCAGCCCGGCACCGCCCGCCTTCCCCAGGGGCCGTCCGGTTGCCCGTCCGCGTTTGGGGGGCACGGAGGTCGCAGGGCTGCGCGGGGTGTTTCCGCCCTGGGTCTCCGGTCACTGGCGGAATAACTCTCACAGGGGGACAGACGGATGCAGCTGCCGCCGCCAGGAGCCCCGCCCGGGAGTGGCCGGCACCTCTCCACCCTCCCCGAGAGCCCAGCCGGCCCTTGCCTGCTGACCAGGAAGTGATGCGCGTGCGCGTGCCCAGCACACGGGCGCCGCCACGGGAAAGGTGTTCGCCCCGTGGGGGAGGCCTGCCCGCGTCTCCCGACAGGAAGGGGCGACTGCGGTCAGAGCCGACCTCTACGTCCGGGCAGACGCAACCTCACTCCCCGTGGGCACAGCCCTCGGCCCCGTGCCCTGGGGTCCCGGTCACCCGCGCGGGCGCTCCTCCCGGCGGCCGCCGGCCGAGGTCGAAGGGCGCGTGGCCGCACGTTCGATCCCGCCCCAGCCCGCACGGAGGCCCCGCCACTGTCCGGTGAGGCAGGCGGCCCCAGCGAGTCCCAATCAATAAAATACTGAAATACGTGTCTCTTCAACTCTGAGGATTTATTAGTGCCCATAAATTACCCCTGGAATGTAAGACATTTGGCGTAATTTTATTACAATCATTCAGAATTTTAGTTCCTGAATGTTATTAAATTCCTTTCACATCATGTCAATTACTGTAGGAACATTATATCCTGTCTATTGGGGGAATTATTTTCTAACAACTGCACCAAACCTCATTTTCTCAGTAATTATTTGGACATAAATGTAAATTTTAATTATCTATTTGCGCGCCATTGTCTCCCACGCTCACCGCCACGGCTCCTCCGTTCCTTTCATTCCCCTGAGCTGCGGCGCAGAACCATTTTCTCCCAGAAGGGACGGCTGCGGGCCGCGCTCTGAGTCCTCGCGGGAAGGTAAATACATTTGTTCACCTCCCAGTCCACGGTCATGGACGGGCTGCGCTTGGCGGGGGCACCGTCCGGGGCGTGAGTCTCGTCTCCCCGGAACCGGGCAGCGCGAGCGGCGGCGTCCAGGCGGGGCGGCCGCGCGGGGGACGTCGGTTCCCTCCTTAAGCCGTCTGGTTCTTGCTCTGTGAGCTGCAGGCGGATCTTTCTAATCCTCCGAGGCAGAAATGCCACCAGGAGCTATAGATAGAAGCAGAGTGCACCTTCTCCCTTTAGTTCTGCGTATTACACCGTGGTCTGAAGGCTCCAGTCTCTTTCCGTTCAGGGAGAAAGTCCTTTTCTTCCTTTAGGGACCCGCCCCCGCCCCTGCGCCCTGCGGGAACCGAGGGAACGACCCTGCGTCCCGCGGGCCTCTCCTCGGCGTCTCAGCCGTGTGCTGGCCGTTTCCACCTCTCCTTCCTTTTTATCTTTCCGAGGCTGGAAGGCTCTGCGTCCCCATTCGCCAGTTTGGGCTTCAGCCCCGTGCCCACGGCTGCTTTCAAGTTGTAGTATTTTAGTCACCGTGTTTGTAATTTCAGAGACCCCTTCCTTGTTCTTTAATCCCCCGTTTAAAAAGCTGCGGCCAGCTCTTGTTTCAGGGACACGATACCCTTTGGAGTCCCCGCGGACGCTAATTAGAAATGGAGGGTTCTCTCTGTTTCCTACATGAGTCCCGTTTCATCACGGATTACGGGAGGAGTGACTCGCAGGGTTTAACGGCGCCCCGTGGGACCACTTTCTGTGCAGAGGCGTGTATTTCTGCCCTCGTCGGATGCAGCGGCCCGGTGTGGGCCCGGCGGCCGCGGCCATGCTGTGCTTTCTGACCCTGGGGTTGACGGCTTTTCCCTTAAATAGCTCAGCTCCACGGGCCATGCAGCCCCGGTCGCAAACGCTCAGCCCCGCTGCTGCAGCCGGGAGGCAGCCGAGCGGAGGTGACCGTGAGCCAGCGTTGCGTTGCAAACACTGAAGGTGGGAGGGCCCTGGTAGGGCCCCCCGGGGGACACCCCAGTTTTCTGGGTAATTGCTTCCCCTTG